ACAAAGCCATAGTAAGAGATTTTTCCCAAGTGAGTGGCTCCTTTCCGCAGAAGTTCACAGAGGACCACTGCGCTGCCTCCACAATGACTCAGTGAGTGATTCAGCATGCGTGTACAGAGCTGCACGTGTGAAGAGTCAGCTATTAGTTTTGATGCTATTAATAACATAATTTGACTCACCATTTCAAGAAAATTGCACATAATACCCACACAAGTAGCTGTGCTGATATAGAGCCATAATAACAATTTATGTTTTTTTTCCTGATAATTTCAGATGTGATGTGACATGACTCAAGATGTTCAGATGTGATGTCACACAGCTACAAGTGTGATACTGCATTTATACAACAGTTTGATTGTGCAAATGTGTAAAAAAAAATTAAATAAGAAACAACCATAGAGTGTCTTAAAAACCCTTTTGTGTGCTGAACTACTTCCTGAATGTCCACTGAGGAAGACAGTATCTTTGTTATTGTATCATTTCAACTGTTAAGGGGATTTCCCATGACAACGCTGGTCAGTGCATTTGTTGGTTGCGTCTTACAAGGTGTTGATGAAAGAAAAAATGATGTAGTTTATAACCTTGTTTCAGTCTCTTTCAATATAAAAGTCTTTGCTACTGATGCACTCACAGTCTCTTGATGGTGTAACAATGTCAACAAAATGACAATCACTAACACACAGACTGTTTTTCAAAAACATACTATTTAATATACTACTATTATTTATATAAATATTATACATACAAAAATATTTAATAAACAACAATAGCCATCATAAAAGTTGCTAAGCAATTCAGTCAAAAGTACCAAGGCAGTGCTCTGATATACAGCTTTAGTTACATAAAAATATAAAGTTAAGAAACTTTAAAACGATTTGCTCTGGAACACATAATACTTTAATGAGACCAAAGACTGCCTGTTAGATATACCTAAAATGAATTGTTGCCCATGTTTAACCACTATAGAGACATCAGAGCCAGAACTGACTGAGGTAAGGCTGCTCTCGGCAGGCTTATAAGCGCTGAAAGAGCTCACATCTCTGAAAATGTTGAAGCAAATGCTCAAACAGGGGTTATCTTTGTATATATAGAGAGTAGTTGGTTATTAATTTTCCTCTGTCTCTTATTCTCTTTAGGCGCTTTCGCAACACGTAGTTCCAGGAACTAGCCAGCAGGGTCGTTCCTAGAGAACCAATTTCCCCCTCAGTCCGTTTTCCTGGTTGCACTCGCACTGGCAGCAGGAACTCTGAAGCGGCCGACAGCGACGTCTTTATTTGTGGCATTTACAAATGTGAACAACTGGTGGATGGAGGACGCCATGATCGGAGCCGTTTTTGTTGTGTGCTGTGGGGTTTGTGATAACGGAGATGGAATGTAAATGCACAAATTGCACGATTAAGAGCATGAAAATCTGACTAAATCTCCTATGGCAACTTACAGTGTTATCATCAAGGCTGAGAAAAAAACATAACGCTGCAGGCAACAGGTAAACGCCATTAGAGTTGTTTTCCATGTTTGTGGAGTAAATATTCTTACAAGGATTTTTAAAAATTCCGGGTAGACGGTGTTTCGTATGCGTTTGGCCAATTAGCATACACTGTGTCACTGGTAGTTCCTATAGAACTGTTTTAGACCCTACTCTGAAGTAGGAGCTAATTAGTTCCCCCAAATGGGAGTTCCTAGAAATGCATACATTCCTAGTTCCTGCGGTGCAAACGCCAAAAACAGAGAACTCACAGTAATAGTTCTAGGAACTATGAAAGGGTTCCTCCGGTGCGAAAACGCCGTCTGTGGCCCTTCGAATATAGATGTATAGATGACAGCAGATTTAAAACTTTGTTCTGTCTTACCACAGCAGAGCTGGGTCCTGGGATTTCTCCGTTCGTGTCTGGAGCGAGAGACAATCTAAGGCTGATTTCATCTGAGAATTCTGGAGTGCTAGGGAGGGGCATTGCCAGAGAGGCCGGTCCAGACAGAGAATGGTTCAGACTGTCCGTCATTAAAGTTGGGTCCTCCTCTGATATGGGTTCCCATGACTGGAAAAGGGGAGATATGCATGAGAACCTAACATAATACTGCTTTTATTTTAAAAAAATAAAATAAAAAAATGGCACTAAATATGTAAAAACTTCTGATTTTTAACCACAGTGAGAAGCTTTATTTTGAACCAGACACTTTTCACAAAAATAATGATGCTATCTAGCTCACGTCATAGGTGCAGAGGTCAGGGTTAAATACTAACGTCGTCTATGTCCCTGATGTCCAGCTGCTCGTTTTCCAGGTCTTCGCTAATGTGCCGTCGAGAGCGGAAAACTCTGTGGGCTTCCTGGTTAATCTGCCGCAAGTGATTATCATTTTCCGTTTCTGAAACCACATCCCTAAAGCACAGACAGGGAGAAAAAAAGTGTGTTCCACACATATAAGAGTCTGGTAAGGTTGTCAGAAAATCATGATAAATTCATCACATCAATATCCTTGATTTTAGTTTTTCAGTGTTTTTGCTCATGTGCTTTTTGATAAATGGCAAAAGGGGTCACATACACACTACTGGGCCTCTTCCACTGTGTGGTGCGGTTGTTGTGGTTGACGTAGTATGTCCGTCCCAGGTTATCCACCTTCTCTTCCCAGCCTGGAGGCAGCGGAGGCAGGAGCTGCTGAGGTCTCTGTGAACCTGGATCCGTGGAGTCTGTCACTTCCCAGCCCTGAGAAGAACAAAGTGAGAGTGAGACAATCATCAAAATGTTAGTATTTTAGGACCAAAAATGTTCATTACAAAAAATCTAGGGACAAGGTTGTTTTCAAGAACATTTCAAAAGTTGAAAGTCTCAAAGTGTCTAATTTTTTTTAA